GTTGGTATTGAAATAAATGAAGATTCTCAAGAAATAAAAATCATTTACAGTATCTTCTGAACTGTAAACTGAGGCATAGGTTAATGAAGAGTGTCATTTCTAATGTCTTTTTATATCCTTTTCAGAGTTATGTTTTTCCTTCCCTGATCGTATAAATAATACATAAGTTGCAGTCTACTATTACAAAGAGAAAACCGTACAGAACAATCACCCTTTGTTCCAGGACTTAGTGATTCCTGATAGTATCAAAACAAGTATTCTTCCAGATTTATATATGTGTATGTATTTAGCAAACTAGAATCTGTTAACCAAAGGATTTTCTAGTTTAATCTATTTCACTTAAACATCATAACCAATTATAATATACATAAATAAAAATGAGCTCCTTTACCCACACTGTATTCCATTGGAAATATGTCCCATGAATCATTTATACAGTTTTCTGCTGATGGCCACATAGGCTGCAAAATTACTTTCACTATTTTAACATGGTCATTAAATTACATATGTTTAGGTGAGTTTGCCCTGTTATTTCCCTTACAATAAGTTCTTAAAAATATAATTTTCTATCTAAAAAACTCTAATATTTTGCATTTTTAAAAACTGTCCATTAGAAAGTTATAAAAAATTATTCTGTAAGGATCCAACAGGAACATGTTTAAGTAAATTATGGTATTTTCCAAGCACTAAAATAGTATGTTAATATTGTGTTAAATTACTGATATGGAAAACAATTTGTAGGACTAAATGAGGTAAGATATAAGATATAACAAGGCATATTAATGAGAGATGCTGCTGTTTAAATTATAGCAAATATAATATATGTGATGGGGCTATAACACTGGAAGTGTCATAACTAACAGAAAGACTTACAGTAGACTTTGAAAGTTGTGTTATCTCCTGCTGTAGTTGTTCAATATGTACACCTATTTACAATCCTGTAAAATATGTAAAAACAGGTACAAATTGGAAATTTGTACACATTTTACTTGTCATCTAAAGAATAATTTTAAGGAACTATCAGAAGTCACAAAGCTGAAGAAACTCTTCACATGATTTGTAACTCACATAATGTTAGATATAGCACAGCCCCTAAATTTGCTCTAATCTAGAATGTTTAAACATTCTGTACTAAAACGCATTTGTACAACAAAGAACTTGTTTTTAACTCCTGAAAATTCTCCATGCCTAAGAGCAAGGGGAATAAAAGCTCTCTTCTTCACTGAGAAAGCAAAAAACGAGGAAAGCTGTGAGGTCTCTGAAAACAGATTGGAAAACTGTTCCCTAGCTATAAGCCCCTGGCTGCAGGCATTTTGGAAAGCGTTTTGGAGGGGAACAAGCCATTAATAAAGATTCAATACTTACAGTGACCTCTGAGCAATTCCAGATGCAGACATGGAGATTTTTCCACAGATAATCAGAAGAGGGGCTGCTACAAGAAGTGACAGTTCAAAACAGGCTCGCATGAGGCGAGAATTGCGTGGGACACAGAAAAGGCTCAGCGGAAATGAAACAACACAGCACGAATCCAGATCCTCGATCAAACATAACCAAATGATTCTCTTTCAGGAGTTTTACCAGGTCCGTAAGAAAGGAGGAAATAGATGCCATTTTATATTTCCTGGATATGATTATGGGTTTATCAGCAACTTGTTTTTATATGTTCATGTTCCCATCTATTACTGTGCTAACTTTAATACAGAGCAACTCATTTAATTCCCACACAAAACCAAAGTGATAGAGATTGCTATTCCTTTTTTATGACTACAAAAGTAGGATAAAGACACTTTAGGAGTTTGGCCACAATCATGTGTTTGGAACAGAGGTCAGCAAGCTTCTTTAAGGACCAGTGAGTAAATATTTTGTATTTATTGGCCTTGAAGTCTTATCATAACTATTCAACTCTGTAGCTGCCTACGTCCAAAACTCCTACAGACAATACATAAAGGAATGTAGCTACATTGCCAAAATAGGTGGTGGGTCCTCTGGCTGTGGTTTGCTTAACTCTGACCTAGAGAGCAGTAAATCAAGATCCAACTCTAGCCTAAACTTTCAGTAACAAAATTGCCATGCAGTAAGAGAAAAGGAAAGAAATTTGGTTCTCTTTCAAAGATGGGTTCACTCATTCTAACACACACTTTTGACTTTCTATCTAGTTCTGTTCGAAAAAAACTGTCTAATACGAATTGCCAAGTACTTGGTGGGCAAAAATATTTGGATACCCAGAGAACATAATCAGAGTAAATAGTGTTCCCATCAGAATGTGGAATTAAAATAGGATAAATGTGAAGACCTGATATTTGCACAGTTCTCAGCCTTTTAAAATAGAATTGAATCAGAAGGGGATGATGTTGGGTCCTTTTATAATATAGAAATATTTAGTGTAATGAATTTTGTAATCTATTTTTATTAATTTCAAATTTATAGTCAATTAAGTTGCCTCATAAGTAAAATAATTTAGGACTAGATAGCTTATCTACTTCAAATTGTTTAAAAAAATTATTATGAAAAAATATTTCAACATATATGGTTATTCTTATATTTGTAGAGGTGAAAGATAATCAGGGTTGGTGTATGGCTTAGTAGTAAAACGCTTACCTAGTTAATGAGAGGTCCTGGGATAAATTGCTTTTGCAAAATGTAATCAATAGGCTGAAATGGGTGATTTTTAAATAGTAGACTTATTAGAATTTATTTGTGAGTCATATACATGAATAAAGAACAAATAAAGTTTATGCAAGGCTGCTAAAATAATTGAGAGTGGTCAAGAAAAAAGAAAAGTCATAAAATTTAGACATACTTTTTAATATGACATACCTTTAACCAAATCTTTCTGAATCTGAGTCTTCCATAGGAAAGTGGTAGTCATGGGACCTGTTAGCTTATTAGCTAATTCATTAAGATTTTGGCTAAATTTCTAACAAATTTCTTAAGGATACGGTGGTGAACCATATTATTTTTCATGAGCACTTGTAGCCTGACTCTTAGGAAGGGTTGCATTTTCCACTCACTGCTGTCTGCCTTGGTCATATGATTTGGGAAAAGTGAGACATGACATATGTCACTGGCAAGTAGAAAACTAAGGTCATAATGTAGTTTGCCAGATTCTTTGTTCCTGTGCCATGGGACCAGAATATTCCAGATAAGAGCTGTGCCATCAACCTTGGGCCAGGAGTGAGGGCAGCACAAACAGTACTGACACCAGCCCACACCACCACACAGCAGGATGAGAAATAAAATGTTGTTGTGAATCACTGACATTTTAGGTCATTTACAACCATAGAACAGCTTAAGCTTGCCTGGCGACTAATTAATAAAATGTTAAAATCTAATTGCGCACTTTGCTTTAACACTTTAATTAGAATTATAAACATAAAAGGGAACCAATATAAATTATCTAATTGATTCAGAAATAAAATAGCATTTAGATGCTTCCTATATGTTAACATAGCTACTCTCATCAAATTTAAGACCACATTTTTGTCTGCAGTAACCACAAAGATGGTGCATGGGATTCAGAATCTAAGAAGGATTTTTAAAGTTATTTATAGGATAGCAAAGCATATAGCAAATAAATTATACCCAGAAAACAATACTGATCATTACTCAGAAATTATTTACAGGTAATTTAGAAAATAGGGCTTTTCTTCTCCTAGTTTATAGTAATGGTTTTCCATTTTGTAACTAAGACAGTTTGAAATTATTGTCAACAACAACAACAACAAAAGATATGGCTGTCAAAATATATCAGCAAAATTCAACGGGTTTCCCAAATCCAAAGACTAATAACATATACATTTCCTTGTCTAGTAGCTAGGTCTTCATAGTACACAGATCCTATCAGGATTTCTGTTTTCTAATAAGCAGTAAGCTGTCATCAGAATTCTAAACATGAAATCTTTAATATCTGACTAAACACACGCAACGTATGATTCCAGTGATAACAAGAGGTTCTCTGCAATTTCAAGGAATTATTGACACAGCATCAGGGATATCCTGCCCTCTACTGTCAGCATTATAGTTTTGCATGTTTAAATAGTTAAATCATTTTATTTAAAATCAAAGTTGTTTACTCATTAATAGTTAGACATTCTTTTTGTATTCTATTAGCTGTTTTATTAGAAAACTTAATATTGTGTTTCATGTATACTTGAAATTTAACCAATCTCTTTACATTGTTCTTTAATAGTTAAAAGAACTCAGAATGATTTTATCTAGTAAGTCATCTCTCAATTTACATGTTCTTTCTGTTCTGCATTTATTTATTTAGATTTAACATATTATCAAATGTTGTAATTATTTTGTTTAAATGTTTACTCAGAGTTACACAGGTATCTTTTGTGTTATTTGCCTACACATTTTTTGTGTCTTAGATTTAATTTTGTATTGGTTCATCTTTAATGTATATATGCTGGTGAAACATGGTCTCCATTTCTATTTGACTGCCAAAATCTTTAACATATCCCTCTTTCTATAAGGCTCAATGATAAAGTTCTAGAGTGTTTATTGTTTTTCTTCGCTACTTAAAGATAACATTCTTTTGTAACTAATTTCCTTGCCATTCTTCAAACCGCTTACCTCCACACTCCAAATGGCCTTTCTAGCCAGCATAGTAGTTTTTGTCTATTAATTTATCACATCAATAACCAATCTGTTCTAGCCAAGCACTTATTATTACCAGCTTAGAGAATTTTCTATTTTCTTGTAAATGTGCTTTTTATTGGCTAGCTACTCCACTTATAATTTCCTCAGTTTTACTTGGTAACTCTGTATTTGCTAATAACTCTAGAATTTTCTTACATTGTGATCTCTAAAAAGTATTTTATAATATATTCAGTTTTATAGTGCATAGTTTACAAGATCCGCTCTTATATCACTGAAGAAAAAATATGCCCATGCCTCACCATGTACTATTCATACCATGGTGGCATTGTACATGAATGTCAATAGTAGTTAGCACAGTGACATTAAAAACCTTTTTTCTTTTATTTTAAAGGGAATAAGGCAGGTGATGTGGGCGGCAGTCTATGCTATGGAAGCTGGGAGAGTTATGCTGCCATTGAGAGGATGGAACAGCTCAACAAGAACAAACCACAGACACTTGCCAACCAGACTCATTACCAGGCCCCACCGCCTTCCTTCTCCTTTCGTGAAAGGATAACTCACAGGAGTCTTGTCTACCTCTGGTTCCTGTGCAGTTCTGTAGCACTGGCCTTGGGGGCCCTAACACTACGGCGGGCTTTTCTCATCTGTCGAGATGAGACTAGCATGGAAAGACACATTAACAAGAAGGAGAGATGTGGACTGCAGGCTAAGGGCAAAGTATTTAGAAATCCTTACACCTATGGCTGCTTGGACGACTGGAAGGTATTCCTGGATGTAGGCACAGGAAGGCAATGGTGTATTTGGGTGCTGTTACCTTTTAGTCACCTGGCCCATGGGAATGGAATGAGCTGGGAGGGCCCCCCGGCCCCCCCACAATGACTGCTCACTCGGCCTCTGTGATGGCAGTGTGAGCTGGATATGTCAGCAACAACTTAAGCATTTGTTCTGCTACTTATGGTGTCTCAAGGGATCCAACAGCAGCTTTTCTTTCAGTTCTTGATCAAAAAGAGCCAGTGGGCCTGCTCTAGGGTGCTATGCATGGACAACTCAAGGGCCAACGTTTTTCTCACTGAAGAAGGAAGACACAAACGTGGACAAATCCTAGGACAGATGTCCTTTACTGAGGCAAACAGAAGTTCCAGCCCCAGACTAGGGACCAGGGAGCTAGCTACCCCAGCCTCCAGATAAAGCACCAGGGCTGGTTATCTCCTTTTTCTACTTATTGTCTTGGAAAATACCTGAGGTTACAGCTGGGATTCTGGCTTCTCAACGGGGTAAAAACACCAGACATGCAGCTGAGGTCACTGCCATTTCTCACATGCTACAGAATGGAGCAAAAATAAAGGCATTTGATTTGTAAAGAAAAAAAAATAATAAAGGGAGTTAAAAAAACTAAAATGAAATAAAACAAAACAATGGGAATGATATTGGATTTCAAAAACAAGACAGTAGGAAATCATCCATAATTACTGTAATGCACATTGTTATCCTCTAAAAAGATGCTCAGACCACCAGACATAGGCATGCAAAGTCAATTAAACAGCATGAGTACTAAGTTGTACATTTACTTCAGTTGCCAGCATTTCAGAAATTTCAGGTGTGTAACTTCTAATTTCTTTTGTGTCTATGTCTTCTGGTCTTGTTCTAGGTGAGCTGGAGGTCTGACATTGTACCTTGTTCCTTCATTTTGACATTTTCCTGGGTTCCTCTGAATCAGCCAGTTGCTGAGTCCTGGTGTTTCCTGCATCAGCTGCCTGTCCAGTAGTGCAGGAGATTGGGTTTAGCACCTGGGTTCCTCTGATCTGAGGATCATAAGGTGGCAGAGAGGTGCAGAGTGGCTGCTCATAAAAGTTTCCCTGATGGCTCTGGAACCCTGTGGGCATGGCTTCCTCTCCTTTGAAGCCATGGTGGTGGACTCACCAGGGGCATGGTCCTCTCCTCCATCCATGGTAGTGGGCTCATCAGAACAAGTTAATTCTTTCTAATGAATTAACCATTGCATTTCTAAAGTTCTGAAATGGCCAATGCACCATAGAAAGATACCACTTCAGGCTCTTTCCTGCTTGAAACCAAGAGCTTCAAAAGACTGCTGGCCTTTATTCAGGGTCATTGAAAACCTTAAATCACATACTATTTGTGGTTAAAAAATAGAGAAATTTTCCAATGTACTTTGCTTATTTGTAAATTACATATATGTCTTACCACCAATTTTGAGAATAGTTGTGAAGTATATTTTAATTTAGAAAAAAAAATTTGAACAAAATATTGATTTTGATTTTACATATATGTGGAAGTGCATGGCCTACTACCCTCCTGAAAGATCTTGAGACCTTGCGCATATTCACAGCTTCTGTCAAGCAGCCATTCATTACAAAGTGGGATTAGCTTTGTACTTTGGACACAAAATAGTTTGAGTCTTTCAAGTAATTCAAGAAATCAAACTGAAAAAAATCCTCACAATAGTGTTTCTAATTAATAAATATAGTGCTATCCTATTGATCTTATCCTATTAAACAATATAGCAATAAAAAATCAAGTAAAATCTTGCTTAGAGTCAAAATGTCGCTCATTAACTTAATAAAATTCACTTTAACCCACAACACGCGTGGTGCTATATTAGGTGCAAATGATAAAGTGATGACAGCACAAACCTGGTCTGAGGCCATAGATTGTAAAGCCATTTCTGAGAGACTCCTAAATATCAAGCCAGTACAAATAAGTGATGAGTGCTAAGATAGGAGGAGTACAGCACACTGTGTGAGTACTGAATTTCAGAACATTTTGAAAAGATGCAGACTCTTATGATTTGGCTTGAGATTATACCTTAGACTGGACCTTTAAAAGCATCTGTTTTATTTCTTAGCTCTGAAAATCACGTCATAAGTCATTTGTTCTTGCTGCATTATTTGAAATACTAACTGGATGCTAAAAACGTTCATAAAAAATTCAAACTTATTAAATATCGTAGTGATGACTTACAAACAAAGCTTAGTATCAATAGTTGCAAGCCAATACTCTCTCGAAAGGACATCTCCTGTGATGGATGGATTCATTCATAGTACAAATTGTTAGAGTCAGTGCATCATACCTGGATTCCCTCAAATCAAGAGAATGAAAACAAATCAAGTATACATAGGCAGGTGATGCTCCATGAACCACATATACTTTTGAAAGTATACTGTACCAGTTTAAATTAGATTTGGTGTATCATGATGCAGCACAAAGTTAAAGGCATCACATTACAAGGTAATTGGGAGTGGATGTTCATTAACATCCAGTAGATGCTTTATGGGCATTAAGCATCTCCCTAAAATGAAGAGAGATGACCCATTTTCTTTTCTTTCTCCATTCTTTCTTCCCTTCACTTTCTTCATTTTTTCTTTTCTTTTATTCTTTCCTTTCCTCTGTCTCTGTCTGTCTCTGTCTCTGTCTGTCTCTCTGTCTGTCTCTGTCTCTGTCTCTCTCTGTCTCTGTCTCTCTGTCTCTGTCTCTGTCTCTCTGTCTCTCTCTCTCTCTCTCTCTCTCTCTCTCTCTCTCTCTCTCTCTCTCTCTCTCTCAATAGTGCTAAGAACTGAATGTGTGTAAATACTCTCCCCCTGAGCTACATCCCCAACCCTTGTTACTCTGAGGCAGGGAGTTTCCCATACCAGCATGGAATATGCAATCCTCCTGCATCAGCCTCTCTAGTCACCAGGATTACAGGCATGCTTTACCAAGCCTTCAGTATCTTTATTTAATATTTTTCTTTACACAAACAGATTTGTATATATAGTCTGGATTGCTTGTATATGTACTCTAAGAACTATATGGCTATATATTTGAGATTTCACCAAGCTGGAGCAAAATGACATCTCAGTGACACATAAAATTTATTTAATCCTATATAACTGAAATCAATTCAGATGGACCATGTAGAATGTGTACAATTGTGTAAATTTTTTTTGGCAAAATACGTGATGGTGCAGGTGGCTTGTGCTTGTGGCTGGCCACTAGTGGGTATGGCTTTGTCTTGGAGATACACAGTCACAGCTTACTTGGGGAGAGACATCCGAAAGTACAGGTACAAGAACTGGTTCTCAACCAGATTCAGAGCACCTGGTTTGAGAAACACTCTTCTCTGAGTCTCAGAATGTGGGCAAGAACCTAAATCTCTCAGCTACCAGTGTTCAAGGATCTTTGAGAAGCTTCAGACTAATATTCGTGTACTCTCTGCAGACACTGAGTCTTAAGAGCACAATAAGTTCTATCTTCTCAATAAAACATTTTTAGCCCTCCAGCATGATAATAAACTGTATTTACACATTGCTTGCATATGTTTAAGAAATTTTAAAATGGATGGCAATGGGAATAGTACACCAGGATAAATAAAGGATGCATGTGTATAAGTTTCTATATCCAATAGTGCCTGCTATGAGCCCTTTAAAGTTTAGTTAATGAATATAGCATATTCTTATTCTGCCATTCAGATAGTAACTTTTCAGTTACTTCTTGGTTAACCTGTAAAAGGGCTTTAAAATTAACCAAGTAATTATTTGGCACATATGATTTTTACCTATTTAGACAAACCCTGAGTTAGATGTCCTAAATATTAAATAAGCATTTAAAGAATCTTTTTCACTTTCATACAAGTTAATGGAAAAAATGGTAAAAGCAAGAAAATGAAACATTTTATCTCAAAACAAGAGCTGAGAATACTCTTATTAATACAAACCTATATCTGTCATGTTAAGCATTTATTAGCAGTAAGTTGGTACATGAATTATTGGTAAGAAAATTTTTATGAGGAAAATAACCTTTAAGATAAATCATGTGTGTAAGAGTATATGAATAAGAAGGTGGTAGACATTTCCCAAGAGGTAAGCTGCCCAAGCCCTGAGGCTTGAATAAAAAAAAAATCTCCCCCATCTCACCATCTTTACTGAGGGCCAGATTGTTCTGTGAACTGGACTTGTTCCAGCCTGGATATACTGAGTACGAATGAACATTATAGCAAACTTTAACACGGCCAAATTCTACTACCACAAAAATTTTAATACAAATAATCACCATAAGGAAAAATAGTCCTAAACCCTGGCTCACAGCCCATGGCTGGTTGAGTTTTTTAAATAGGCTACTCAAAATAATCTGTATAATTTTATCAAGTCCTTAACACTCTTTGCTCCAGTGGCTTTTAATTTTTTACTCTTATTCCCAGTAAAAATATATTATACATCATGGCTATATATAGATATTAAAAAGTTGCATGAAACAATACATAGTCTTATCGTATGCTGTACATAGTGGTATTTATATTATTTTTTATTAACCTTTTCAAACATCATTTGCCAGTTTATTGATTTTGAAACTCACTACTGTATCCTAAACCTCAGTATACAACAGAAAACATAGAGAGACATAGATTCTCCCTAAAAAATGGAGAGTAAAAGAATAAAAATGAAAAAGAGAAAAAGAAAAGAATATCTAAACATTATACAAAATTACTGACTTTTGAAGTAACATCAAAGAAGAGAATATTTTTTAAAAATTGTAGAGTTGATATTTATAATTTGAGAAATGCTATTCCCAGAGCCTGAAAACTAATGACTTTACAAATTAACAATGACATCCATTAGATGCATAAACTGTGTAGACTACTGGTCAGATGAAAGCCAAGCTATGCTTGTGATGTTCTCAAAATTATGGTGTATAAGGTTTGTGCAATATGGAGAGATTTTTACTATCCAAAATCTTGAAACGTTAAGAAAAACTATCCAAGTTTTTCAATAACTCTGAGAAGTCATTATAATCTACAAATTCCTACCTGTTCAAATAAGATTAGACTGTGCACAGAGCAAAGACTTCAGAGGGCCACATTTTGCATTTGAGGCTGAGCTTACCACTTCTGCAATAAAAGGATAAATGGTAGAAAGGCTTTGTAAATCAATCTACCAAGCCAATGTAGCCAACCCTCCACTAATTACAGTTCCATTATATTTTCATAATTTCATACAGTTACAAAACCTTTTCTATAAGAGTCCATTTATAACACAGTTCTGTTTCTCCTTTTTTTCCAAAGCAACTTTCTAAATAAAAATCTTTCCATTTACTTTCACCACTTCAACGAAGTTCTTACAGAACATTCAACTTTTTACTTGCCCACTCCTGCTTTAGAAATTATATCTCCCTCTCTCCTCCTCCCGTCTCCTTCCTTCTCCTTTTCTTTTTCTTCTTTTATACAGTATTTCAGCCAGCATCATCCTGGACTGTAATGGAAACAATTATTTATTTTTAGATTATCTTATGAAATTAAACAACTTGGGCTCACTTTGCTACAGATCTTTCTTTTCAGCAACCCTTTTTCTTCTATTAGACTGAGACTTAGTGGAAATGCTTGTACTTGTACCCTCTGTCATTTTACCATCGTCATTATTAGATATTTTCTAGTCCCTCCATCTCTGTACTTCTCGATGACAGCATTAGATTCATTTCGTGTAGCCATTACTCTCAATGACTATGATTTCCAAGACAGCAAGGATTTTTGTTGTCATTTATAACATTTTTAACCCAGAACCTAAAATGGCATTAGGCAGTTAGCTGTCATTGCAATAATTATTTATTTAAATACATCAAAGCAGTTTCATGCTTCACTACATTGACCGCATTAGTCTTTTCTAACAAACCTATAAAAGGTGTAAGCATCAAATACAGTGAATGTTTAAGTTTAAAAAGTGTCTTACAGTGAAAGACACATTGTCCTTAATGACACAGAAAGTAATCCCTGTTACTTAGAACACACCCTGCCTATCACTTTTGAAAGCACTTCTGGAAGTCTTCTATCATGAGTGTCTTTAATTGTGCCCTTGTAGCTGCCTTGATGTCTTGAATCAACTTAACTTTTGTCCATAAAAATACTACAGTATGTCCTTGTCCACCTGACTCACTGAATCTAGCACCACGCAATTCCTGGCTCTTGCCCACAGGCAAACTGACCGTGAAGCATAAATGTTTTGAAAGCTTCAAGGCAGCCACCGAAGTCTGACTGCAGACCCAGAAGAGGATTTCCAGAGCTGCTTCAGAAAGCAGCGGGAGTAAGAACCATGGGATGTGTGTTTGAAGCTAGGGGGAGTACCC